TACTGATCTGTAATAGCGACACGGGTGTTTAAGGAAATACTTCTGTGCTTAATAATGAGAAAAGCAGAGAATATCTGCAGAGGTGACATCTATCACGTGTTTTTAAACACACATAGCCCGATAACCTCGCAAATTATCCGGGCTGCTCGGAGACAAAGGGAGATAATGATAACAAATGAGCTGGCAGGGCTGGAATGCCGTTCATGGAGATGGATGGCCCGGAGTTTGAGAACTCTATTAACGGCTCCTACAAACCATCCAATCTATCGCATCCCCGGCGTATTGAGTGCAGCCTCACTCAGGCTTTATGAGAAAAACAGCTCCATTAAGCAGCCAATTTTTGTCAGTCTTCAGAGGGGTCATTTAAGTCTCCCCCGTGCCAGCAGGAACGCAGAAATCTTTACGTTTGTGGTGAACTGAAGTCGCCTTCGGAGGGAAACGCGGCAGTTGCTTCACGGTCTGAATGACTTCTAACTTGTGCACTGCCTGGTGTCCAAGGATGTCAAATACACTCATTAACTAAACTCTACAGCTACTGATTCATCAAGTAGCACTTTTTTAGTTCAGCGGAGGCAAAGAGAAAAGAGAACTCCCAAATTTTCCGCTTCCAGTGGCTGTACCACCTCTTCTCGCTCCCTCTGTCTTCTCACTTGGTGAAAAATTTCCCCTCCTGCCACAGTATTTCTTCCACTAAAAGGGTGAGGAGACATTTTTGACCCAGTATTTATTCTGGCCTTTTCAATGTGAGAAGATGAATCCCTATCATATTCCCAAGGAATGCTGCTGATCAAGACACTGCTTTGCACCTATTTTATGTCTCATATTTTTAAGGCAGTTTGACTGTGCTCGTAACAGCACATCCCATCACATCGGGGGCTGGGGCACTGCAGAACAACCGGCGTGAGAAAAGGAGGCTCGGGGGGACCTTCTCGCTCTCTCCAGCCTCTGACAGGAAGGTGGAGCCAGGCGGGAGTCGGGCTCTACTCCCAGGGAACAAGGAACAGGATAAGAGGGAATGGCCTCGAGTTGTGCCAGGGGAGGTTTAGGTTGGATATTGGGGACAATTTCAGGAAAGCCGGAGTTGCAGCAGGAGTTGCTCACCTTACCTGGGAGTGCCCCTGGCAGGTGGACAGGTGGGTTAAGCCTCACCTGGCAGGTTTAATGCTCCAAGTGCTGCTTCTCCCCGAGCCAGGGCAGTGCCCGTGTGAGCACACGCTTCCCCGCCCACCCGGATTCAGAGGAAGCGAGTCGGGAAGAGCGCGGCAGCGCCAGGAATAGACACGTCTGTTCCGTCTCGCAGGGGAGGTCACTGGGATTCTTCTACGAGACGAAGAGTCAATTTTGTGAATCATGTTTTGATTTGTATTGGATTTGGCACATAACACCACCCGCCCCCTTCTCACCTGCCTCCCGATCCCGCCCTCCCCAGGCTCCGGTTCCCAGCCCCGAGCCTTTGATTCACATTTACTGTGTGGAAGGAAGTCTGTGAGCTGCACATGCATAAATAATAGAACTGAAATCAGACTTACTTAAAAATAGATATTCTTCCTAATAAATATTTTACCTGCTGTCTTTAGGCTATAAAGCTCCCCTGACTGAAGTGTTAAAACCAGCCTTGTTGTTGGGACCCCTAAATGCCTGAAACAACCACTGTGCAAACAGTGCTGGGCTGAGAGGCTGCGTGTGGGGAGAGAATGTGGTCACCTGCACACACAGGGAGGCAAACACCTGCCCCTAAAGCCTGGGAAAAGGTGGTCCTTTGGCTCAGGGCACAGACCTTGGCATCTGGCTTTGATTCATCTGGTGACCGTGAATTTGCCTAATGAAACTAGAGATAAGATCTCTCGATATTTATGAGTAACATTCTCCTTTCCGTATCTTTGTTTCTTCCTGCCCAAAAGTGGAATTAGAATTAGGTGGCTGAATAAGACAAAACAAAGGACGTTGGCAGAGCCTGAGATAGGAGGATTTTTCATTAAAAAGAGTGACAGGTGGGAGAATGTGTCCAAGTGTGTTTTTGGAAGATAATCCTTCTGCATTTTGGGTTTAGGGCATCACTTACCCGACGTGGTGTTTCCACTCCCTGCATTCCCTAGGAACTAGGGGTAAGTTTAATGTGTTATTCTGCCCAGAACTTGGAGCCAGAGGGTTGACTTTGCATGGAAATTGGGGTCCTGGTGGCAGCAGCAGGGACCACATGCTGCCTTTGGTACGGAGCAGCTGGCAGCAGGGATCCTGGCCAGCAGTGCTGAGAAAGGATGCAATTAAACAGGAGAGGGTGGATCACAGCAGGAACGGTGGAGAGCTGCAGGTCTAGACTGAAATCCTCCTGGGGAGCACGTCTGAGCCCATGGGAGCAGGGCAGGGCAGGGCTGAGGCACTCAGAGCTGAGGGGGGGGGGTCTGCTCATGGTTCCCATCCCCACAGCAAGGAATCCCTTTGGCTCTGCTCAGCCAAGTCTTCCACGTCCACTTCCCCATCCCACTCCCCCCAGAGCCCTGGTCAGCTGACACCCAGCAGTGATGCTGGTGTGGGTGGGATGAAGGTGGGGAGCCTCAGGGGAGCAGGGTGGCCATTCAGAGGAGTCCCTGCAGTGACAGGGAAGGACGTGGGTGCACAGGGACAGGGGAATACACAGCTCTTCCAGCCCAGGCTGTGGGGCTTTGCCCGGGTGACTGGAAGCAGTCCTTGTCTGAACTAATCACCTCCAGGCCGTGCGCGGAGCGGGGCAGATGTGAGCTGTGCCCGCTGCCAGCTGTGTCCTTCACAGGGATTTCTGGCTCCCGAGGCTGCCCAGCAGCACGTTCGGGCAGGGCGGGCGCCGGGCCTGGCACACGCTCCCTAAATCCTGGGAGCCGGGATTAGGGTCCATCTGTGCAGCCCCGTGGCACTGGATTAGCTGCCCTGACTGCTCCAGAGACAGGGATTTTTTCAGGTGGCACGTTGGGCTTGTTACTCCCAACCCTTCCATGGCAGGGTGGTGGAGCTGGACGATCTTTAAGGTCCCTCCCCACCCAAAGCATTCCAGGATTCCACGATTCTATGGTTTTGTGTAGCTGCCTTTGAGGAATTCATTAAAGGTTAGCAGAAACACAACCATAAGCATTTTCCACACCCTGGCGATTCATCCCGATAACAATCATGCAGTTATGATCAGTCATCAGCACAAAGCACCGTGAGGCAATGAATCAGCTCCATCACGAAAGGCAAGGAGCAAGAGCAAATGTTGGCCTCCCCAAGAAACATTATATTCCAATATAGTGTAGAGAAAGGTCTTTGCATTTAAAATATTCCACGAGTGTAAACACATGGAAAGCATTAATGAAGATTAATGGTTCTGTAAATCAAATTACACGTGTATTCTTTGATTTCTACTTTGAAATCATTTTTACATGTTCAAATATTGCAGATGTGAATGTAGTGGGGCTTGATTAGTGCTGGGAGCAAACACTGAGGAACTTCATTAGCAGCAATGTTTGATATTCATTAATCTTCAGTCTGATAGCAAGGAGGATCTCTCCCTAAAACACTGCACCTGCCTTTCCTCCTGTGCAGAGGGCACATGAATCAGGCAGAGCTCTGCTGGGGGCTGTTGCCCAGTTTCACCACTGTCCTGCTTTTTTGTCCCAGCAGAAATGACCACACAACCCAAAGCGAAGAGAGGTCCAAGAATGGGCATTGTTGGACTGGTACCTGTGCCTGGGTGTGTTTGGGGTCAGCAGGACACACCAGTGCAAGGGTCCCACCGCTCCGAGCCAGCAGCTTGGCATCAGGGATTGATTTTTGTCTTGATTTAAGGTGAAGCCCATCAGAACTGTAACTGTAGGGCAGTTGGTCCGGGTGGATGGGTGTGAGGTGCTGTCAGTCCTGTGCTGCCCCAAGGGATGGAGACCCAAGTTGTGTTGATTTTTTTTGTATATTCGTTTTTTGACATCCTGAAGGTATCAATGAACTTGACCCCAGGGGTCAGTATTGAGCCCAGGTGGGCAAGAAGGCCAATGGCACCTGGGCTGTACCAGCCATGGTGTGGCCACAGGAGCAGGGCAGTGACCGTCCATCTGTGCCGGCACTGCTTGGGCCCTCCAGTGCTGTGTCCAGTTCTGGGCCCCTTATGACAAGAAGGACATTGAGGGGCTGGAGCGTGTCCAGGGAAGGGAAGGGAGCTGGGAATGGTCTGGAGCAGCAGGAGGGGCTGAGGGAGCTGGGGGGGCTCAGCCTGGAGAAAAGGAGGCTCAGGGGGGACCTTCTGGCTCTGCAACCCCCTGACAGGAGGGGGGAGCTGGGGGGGGTCGGGCTCTGCTCCCAGGGAACAAGGGACAGGAGGAGAGGAAACGGTCTCAAGCTGTGCCAGGGAAGGTTCAGGTTGGACATCAGGAGGAATTTCTTCGTGGAAATGGTTATCAGGCACCGGAAGGCGCTGACTCCAGGGTGGTGGAGTCCCCATCCCTCGAGGTGTCCAAGGAACGCACTCAGTGCTCTGGGCTGGGTGACAAGGTGGGGATCAGGGCACAGGTTGGACTCCATGATCCCGGAGGTCTTTTCCAACCCCGGTGATCCCGGGATTCTGTGATCCCGCGCGGTCCCCATGGCAACGCGCGGTCCCCATGGCAACGCGGCGGCCCCCGAGGCGCGGCGTGTCCCTCGCGGCGGCCCGTAGCGCGGGGCATTGTGGGCCGGGCAAGATGGCCGCCCCCGTGGCGCGGTGCTGAGCCGAGCCGCGCTTTGCCGGGCCCGGGGCGCGCGTCCCGCCGCCGCCGCCGCCCCCGCCGCGCAGCTGCCGAGCCGCTCTCGGCCCGCCGGAGTCCCAGGGGCCGCCATGGGCCGGACGCGCCGCCCGCCGCAGGGAACGCAAGGCCCGCGGGGGTAGAGGCGCGAGGGAGGCCCCGGGCCCGGTGCCGGCCCCTCGGTGCTCCCCGGGCCGCGCCGCCGCCGAGCCCGGCCGGGGCCGCTGCCCGCGCCAGGTGACGGCGCTGCGACCCCCCCCCGGGCCCGCCCTTGCCTGCGGAGCGCCCCTTCCCGCCGCCCTCGGCCCGTCGCCCCCCGTCCCGGCGGAGGGACCCCCGGCCCCGCTGGGTGCCGGGCTGGACATCGCCGCGCACGTGCCGCCCGGAGCCGCCCCGCCGATGGAGTCCGAGATGCTGCAGTCGCCTCTGCTGGGGCTCGGCGAGGAGGATGAGTCCGACCTGACGGACTGGAACCTGCCCCTGGCCTTCATGAAGAAGAGGCACTGCGAGAAGATCGAAGGCTCCAAGTCTTTGGCCCAGAGCTGGAGGATGAAGGACCGGGTAATGCTCCCGGGCGCGGTGGGGTTTGGAGGAGCAGGAGAGTGGTGGGAAGGGAGCGGTGAGAGCTCAGAGGGCCGCTGGGCTGCAGCAGGGGTCTGTTTTCAGATGAAACCCTGCGTGTTGATCCCATAGTTTGTGTCCCGGTCATGTGGAGTTAGGGGAAGCAAACATGCAGAAGGAGCAGAAGCACTGAATTGATGCTCGTGGTACTTGCGCGCTTAGAGCAGCTCCATCGTTTAAGTTCTTTCAAGGAAATTTGGCCACGTGGTGCTTTTTGGGAAAGTCAGTAAAATGAACGAGGTGTGCAGGAGCTCTGCAGGTGAATGGGGAGGCTCCAGGTGCAGTAGGTTGAGCAGTTACAGCTCTCTGGAGGTGAAGTTGCACGGGAGCTTCGTGGGTTTGGAGCTTGCCACCAGCATGTTGTGTGGAATATAAAATGAAGGTGTGTTTGTGTGTGTGGAAACTGAGATTATGGGAATTTGGAGGCAGGAAATCATTATGAGATGAAGCTCTTGTTGTATTACGTTGGGAGCTTCCCTGTGTTAAGCCAAGAGAGACAAAGAAAGATCCCAGCTGGGTCTGGAATCCTCTGTTTTGTCTGTGTCCCGACTTCAGTGTTTAAGTAAAAAGCAAACAAAGCACTTAAGAAATGTCACGGATAATCATCTCCAGTCATTCAGTTCTTGGAATCCACTTTGGGTTGCAGGATTCCCTGGCTCCCGAAGTTGTTTTGCACATAACTTTGCGTTTATAGATATTTGTGAATTTTTGTGGTGACCAAGTTTCCGTTATGTTTATGATTCCTCCTGTAATGCTGTGGAATAACTTGTTGAAATTCCATGCTGTAATTTCTTTCCAGAGGCGTTATGATCAGGCACAGGGATGCTGTCCCTGTCTCAGTGTTCCTAGAGGGGTGGTTATAGTTCTCAGAAGTTCTGGGAAGGCTCTGGCTGAACCAGAGTCATTTCCCTGAGGAGAATCATGTACTGAAAATGTGACTTGGCAGATCGTTCCCGGGTTGAACTGAGTGTTTTGGGTGCGATTGAAGGGAGGCACAGACACCACGTGTGTGCTCTTTCTGCTCTAAAGGGTTTTGGCAAAGAAGAGGCTTTCTCTAGTAGACTGTGGAGGTGTGATGAGCTTGCTTGTCTATTTTAGTGATCCCTCTGCCTTCCTGGGAAGCTTCCTGTTCACTTGTTTCCTGATCTGCAAAGTTGTCTCTTTCTAATTTGGGAATGACTTTGGCTGGGTCAAGGTGATCAATAGGTCGTGCAGCAGCAGCACAAGTGCAGGGGGTGAGGAGCAGCTTCTCCGTGGTTGGTGTTAAACATTTCACGTGCTTGTTATGGCCAGGGAGAATGGTTTTGATGAAGAGAGCAGTGGTTAGTGATCACCACAGCCCACTGACTCCCGTGGAGCTGCAGAGTCCTCCTCCCAGACCCTCCTGTGCTGTGAATGTTGTGCCTGTCACGACATCGCTGCTGCAGGGACAGACTCAGCGAGGCCCTGGGTCACTCCACGATACTGAGTCTGCTTCCTGTAAAAGGAGAAAATAAAAGCAAATCCAGAATTTTCTCTTTAGTCCTTCTGTTTTCACTGTCAGCTTGAGCCAAATAACTTCACACCAGGGTCGGTGGTGCTGCTCAGGTGTCATTTGTATCTGGGCAGCTGGATCAGGGATCCTTTGGACAAACTTGCTGTTGTGTATCATTACTTTTTGTTTAAGAACAGGTGCATAGGAAGATAGAGAAAGCACATAAAGACATGTGAGAGAGGAGAAGCAGCTGATTTGAGAATGCTCTACCTCATTACTTTTAAATCTTAGGAGTTATTTTTCACATCTTTCATTCCCCTCCTTAGCTGTCATTGGCTGTCTGCTGAGCATTTGATGTGAGATAACAAAGGTAGAACCTCATCTGGGGAAGGAAGGGCTCTGAGGATGAGGGTTTGGAACGCTGCATGGGGATGCTTGTTAAATATTTCCCCCCAGCCAACTCGAGTTGGGTTAATCCTGCAAAATAATTCATGAAATGTAATCTTGTGGTCCATGAGCAGGAGGTGGAAGGCAGCTCGCTCATGCTGCTGCTTTCCCACAGCCCAGCTGGAAATGGCAGTGGGAGTGTGACGGGTTTGTCCAGGGAATGAGGCACCTGGATAAAAACCCAGGACCTGGGATTGGTGGGAGTTTTCTGGGAAGCAGTTGGGAAGGGTGGTGTGAAGGCAGACACAAAGTAACGCGGCCGCCTGTGCTGTCAGCATGGAAACACTGACTGCTGTTCATTCCCCCCTTCTCTCCCCGAGCTGCTTTGTTATGCTCTCTGGCATCATTGATTAATTATTCCTTGTTCTGGCTGTCCTCAGAAAGTTTCCTCTCTTTCTCTTTTCTTGTTTCTGTGCGCTGATCCCGCTGATCTGTGTCGGTGTCCACGGCCCCCGATGTTTGTCTGGAGCTGCTCATCCCGTGTGGAGCCCCTTCCCTCCAGTCCCAGCGTGGCTGAGGGTCTGTCCCATTCCCCTGGTGCTTTGTCTCTCTCCCCTCTTTCCCACAAGCCAGGCTGATGGACTCCAGGTGTGTCTTGTCTCCGGGATGCTGCTGAAGGAGGATGTAGCTCTGGCTGTGAGCTGAGTGCGGAGAACTTTCCGTTGTTTTCAATTTGATAAATGAACTTGTCACAGCTTGGGTTGGGACCCATCACCTGTCGTGTAACACACCAGCCTGTCTCTAAATGAAGAAATTCTCAAAGGTCAACCAAACCAAGTCTCTGTTTGTCCAAGTTGCAGGTAAATCTGTCATGTCCCCGTGAATCATGAAAACCATGAGCGGTGGCAGATTTTTGCCTTATTCATCGAGGAGTCCTGGGGAGTGATCCGAGCTCTGCTATAGTTATAGGAAATGATTCACTAAGATTTGGGAGTGGAATGACTCTTCTTTTCATCCTGCTTTGTTGCTCTAAAACCCTCAGAGTTTTTATGAAGTTGAAGGTTCTTTGGAAGGCAGAACTCTGATAAGTGGGAGAATCGAATCAGCAGAGTAATGGGTGGTAAATCTGGAGAAAATAAGTGAGCATTCGCTGGTGTCCCCCGCCCCTTCTCCACGAGGGCTGCTCTGAAAACATTTAATCCTTGCTCTCCCCCTTCCATGGGCTGCATATGCCATCAAAGTGACACTGCTTTGATCTATTATTTATTTAAAGAATATTTTTAACACAAGAGGGTTGGAGTTATGCTTTGTGTATTGAATTAAATCTCAGCCTCGGTAGCAACCAAAGCATGTAACTTGATTTAAATGAAAACACTCCCAAGTACACCAGGTTTTACTGACAAGTTGCTATTAAATTCTGAATATTTAAATTAGGAATTACTGTATTTATATTGATTTCTAAGATAAGCAGAGAGCAACAAAGCTGATTGTAATAGTTTTACTTCAACATTTTTTTTCCTGCTGCCTCATAACTTGCTGAGTGAGAATTAAATCCTATTTTTATGAGAAGAGGAATACACAATTAGGTTTCTCTGGACATGCAGATTAAAGCAGAACTGCATACAAATGTGCTTAATTCAGACAAGCAGAGTTTACCTGCCTGCACAGTAAATCCCTGGAAGTGTCCAAGGCCAGGTTGGACGGGGCTTGGAGCACCCTGGGCTGGTGGAAGGTGTCCCTGCCCATGGCAGAGGGTGAAATGGGGTTAGCTTTAAGGTCCCTTCCAACCCAAACCAGTGTGGGATTCTGTGGTTGTAATGTTCCATGTGTTGAAGGGAATTACTGCAGGGTGGTAGTGGTGTGGGTTTGTGCACATCAGTTCAGCTGGAGATCGTTGTTTCCATGCACAGAAGCTTCCCAGGCACTGAATGGCCACGTTTGGGCTACTTGTTCATCCTGGAGTGCTGGTGGCTCATTTCCCCCCCTCTTCTAAGACTGGTTTGGTCTTTCTTGGGAGCTGAAATCACAGAATCATGGAATCAGTAAGGTTGGAAAAGACCTTAAAGCTCATCAAGTCCAACCGTCATCCAGGACCACCACCATGTTCACCACTAAACCACGTCCTCAAGTGCCACATCCACCTGTTTTTTGAATACTTCCAGGGATGGTGACTCCACCCCTGCCCTGGGCAGCCTCTGCCAGTGCTTTACAACTCTTTCTGTTGTAAATTCTGAATTCTTTTTTGCTTTTATCCAATCTAAACCTCCCCTGGCACAACTTGAGGCTGTTTCCTCTCATCCTGTCCCTTGTTCCCTGGGAGCAGTGCCTGACCCCCCTTCTATCAGGGAGTTGCAGAGAGCGAGAAGGTCCCCCCTGAGCCTCCTTTTCTCCAGGCTGAGCCCCTCCAGCTGCTCCTGAGAGCTGGTGATGGTGTGGGTCTCTCTCCTGGCTCAGTGGTTGAAGCCCACCCTGGTTCAGTAGTTCCTGCCAGTGGTGATTGCAGCTCTGTGAGGTGTCGGAATTGTGTGGGAGCAGTGGCCCCTGCTGCCTTAAAGTGACTGTCAAACCAAACCAAACCCAACCCCAGGCTCTCCTGGAACTGTCAGCCATGAGCAGTGTCAGCTCACCCCTGGATTTGTGTCTTCCCTCCCCTAGAACAGGGATCCCTTTGAACTGAGGTGTTGGGTATTGATTGGATGGGGGTGGGAGGCTGCACTGTGTCCACAAATGTTTTATGTCTGAGCAAAGGGGACTTTGATTAACAGCTCTGAGAGCACAACTGGGCACAGACTCTGAAAGAGAAAGATCTGACCTTTGTACACCAGCAGGAAACACCGAAATCCTCAACTTGGCCACTCACTCTCATCCTGTGAATATTCTCCCTTCAGCTGAGATCTGTAAAATGAACACCATTAGCAAATGGAATGTCAGAAAATAGCTCTATCTGTGTCTCTCCATTTGAAGATGCAGTGAGAGGAATTTACCTATATATAACCTGCTGCTTTTTCTGTCTGGGCGGCCGGGGCAGTCCTGGGGGCTGGTGCTGCTGAGCAGTTGGGATTTGCAGAGGAGTCAGGCA